TTGATTTGAATGAGGGGATTGAGTGCACATTTAGCAAATTTGCAGATTACACCAATCTGGATGGAGCTACAGACACTCTGGAGGCTAGGGCTAAGATTCAGAATGATCTTGATAAACTGGAGAAATAGTCCTAAAGTCATTTAATTAAGTTTAACAAGAGTAAGTGCAAAGCCCCACACTTGGGATGGAATAATCCCATGCACAGATTCAGATTGAAGAATGACTGGCTAGGCTGTAGTACTGCAGGGAAGGCCTGGAGATTATAGTGGGCCATAAAGTGAATATGAGCAAACTGTCTGTGCTTGTTACAAAACAAGCCAACAGCATACTGGGTTGTATTAACAGAAGCAATACTGAAAAACAAGGGACGTGATCCTTCTTCTCTGTTCAGCACTGGTGAGGCCTTGGGGTGGTGTTATTTTGGCCCTGGCTTTAAATTGGCACCTGTGGCTAGTGCCCCTCTTGCCCCCACCTTGGTTACATTACTGCTTCCAGACCTACTTGTCTGTGATTCTCTGAACTATCATTAGGTAACATCTGGAGTGCCACAACTCCACTATTTATCCTGAAACAGCAAATTAGACAGAAGCTAATCGCTTCCAGAAATAAGGTATTGGGGAAAATATAACAGGTCAATCAATTTCTTCCCTTGGATCTTGCTTTGGATTTGCTAACTTGGGTTAAGAACATAACCTTTTGCAATGCGCCAAGATCCAGGTAGGGCAGACTCAGCTCCAGGCCCCAAGTGGAAGTTCTCAGGGATTCAGGCTGAGTCATTCTTAAGGAAGAATCCTGCCCACACTGGCTTAGACCAGAAAGCGGAGACCTGTCTGGGCAACAGACTGTCTTACTGTGGCTCTGGACTGCTTAGAACCCATAAACCTGACTTCATGCTGTGACCCTCTGGTGGCTGACTCCAAGCTCTGAACCCTCCCACCTGTTCCTGCTTACTCCTGTTCCTGTCTTGGACGTTGTGTCCTAGAACAACTGCATGCCTTGACCATGGTCTTGTCTCACCCCTCAGCTTGCTATCTTGGACTGGAACTTGTACCCAGCTTGGCCTTGGCTTCCACCTCAGTAACCCCCTGACCTAGCTTGCTTCACTCAGATGAACTGCCTATGCCCTCAGTCAGGGGCAGATCCAGGGGGGTGCACTTGCACCCCCTCCCCCTTGATTTCTGTTACATGCAAAATTTAAAACCAGCTGCCTGGTATTGGCAGCAGCATTTCTAGTCAGTGCTGAGGGAGTCAATTAACTTCATGGCTCATTATACCTGATACCTTTTAAATTCTTCATTCCACAGGTGAAAATGACCCTGTCTCTTTTTTTTTAATGGTCTTGATGTTCCACCAATCAAGCTATTCTTTGTTCTGCCAGTCTGCTGTCTGTTTGCTGTTCCTAGTAATGTAGCTCTTATTTCACAGCCCTGCAGATTGTTTCTAATTCATTCCAAGGGAGCTATATTTGTTCTTGCTTCAATCTCAAACTGAATAATACACCCCTAGACCCCTAGCATATTAGTAAAACTTTTAGTTTATTTTTATCTGGAGAAAAATGTGTGTTGTGTTATGTGTGATGATGCACCTCATCATCTGCACCCCCTTTTCAAAATTCTGTTCTGCTCATGCCCTCCGTCAACACTAACACCTTTCTCCTAGTGAAGGAAGAGACTCAGGGTGCAGACGGAAGTTACATTTGTTGCATGATCAGCCCCTTGAAAACACTCCACAGCCATGCGCTGACAGAAATGCATGGTTGAAGAGCGCTTTAAAAGTGCCTGATCATGAGACAAATTAACCCATATTACATGAGGGTTTAAATGATAATGCTCCAAGGTAGAGTGCTTTCATTAACTTCTGCCTGATCCGGGCTGGGCTGATGCAGCTCAGTCCTGCCCCTGGTGCTGCCTGTACAATGGGATAGGGGAGAAGGGAAGGGAGGGAGCTCTAGCTGGGGGTTGCTGGACGGGGGTGGAGGGGGGCGTGGATTGGAGCTCCCCACCTCAGGGGCAGCTCCAGTCCACCTACCCCTACTCCAGCGCAGGCTGGGCAAACCCCAGCTTGAGCTCCCCCTGCCCCTCCTGTCATGCACTGGAGTTGGGGGCAGCGGGGAGGATGGCTAGGAGACAGAAGCTACATTATTGACTCTAAGATGAACATGGGCTGACAATGTGAGGTCACAGTCGGCAGGGCTAACCGGACCTTATCGTGCATCCACAGGTGCCTCTCAAGTAGGTCCAAGGAGGTGATCCTCCCCCTCTACGCGACACTGGTCAGGCCACAGCTGGAGTACTGTGTCCAGTTCTGGGCACCGCACTTCACGAGGGATGGGGACAACATTGAGAGGGTCCAGAGGAGGGCCACCCGCATGATCCAGGGCCTGCAGGGCAGACCCTACAACGAGAGGTTACGGGACCTGAACCTGTTCAGCCTTCACAAGAGAAGGCTGAGGGGGGACCTGGTGACCATCTATAAACTCACTAGGGGGGAACAGGAGGGTTTGGGGGAGACCTTGTGTCCCCTAGCGCCCCCCGGGATAACAAGGAATAACGGCCACAAGTTGTTGGAGAGTAGGGTTAGATTAGACATCCGAAAGAACTACTTCACAGTTAGGGCGGCTAGGATCTGGAACCAACTTCCAAGGGAAGTGGTGCTGGCTCCTACCCTGGGGGGCTTTAAGAAGAGGCTTGATGCCTACCTGGCTGGGGTCCTTTGAGCCCAGTTTTCTTCCTGCCCAGGCAGGGGGTCGGACCTGAAGATCTGCAAGGTCCCTTCTGACCCTACTTCTATGATTATATGATTCAGCTGGATTAGTTCTAAAGTGGAGCTCAATCCCCCATCCTTCCAACCCAACAATGAATATTTGTTGGGTCAGGAGGGTCAGTTTAACTCATGGCACTTTCTGTGAACTGCCATGAGTTAGATAGGGGAGCAGCACGTTGTCAGCACCCTCAGAGTGTGTTCCTTCTCCTTCCATTTGGCCGTCTTCCATTCCTTTCCTGTTCTTGCGTTTACCCCTTTCAGTCTGTATCCATCTTGTACTCCTGGCGCTGCTTCTCTTGTTTATGCTTAACTAGATCTCTCCAACTCTGCAGTTCTACATTTTTTTTGCTTGTAAATCATTCAACAATGAAGCTGTCCTGGCTACAAATCCCAGTGACTTTCAGTGGAATTTATGCTCCTAACTCCCTTTGAAGCCCACCTTGGCCACTAACCAATTCTTTGGATACACGGAAACTATCCCTCCATCTGTCCTTTCCTTTCTGTCTCCATGTAAACTGTGCCCATGGACTCTCCATGGATGTGAGATGTTTGGCTGCCAAAATGATCTCCCTAAGGCTCAGTTAGTGACATGCTTGTTCACACTTTCATTGTTAAATACTTTACCTTGCCTTCTGCCAGAAGAGCTGGCCCAATAACAATGGCCATGTATTTTATTTTTAATTAAAGGTATAAAATGTTTTCCTTTAAACTTTAAATTTACCAAGCACTTTGTCCAGCACTTCTGTCAGACCAAAGAAGTCAGAACTATTTGGGATGTCACCCCAACTCCAAAGGTTCCAACTCAATTTGGGTTCCAGTATCTCATGTGTTTGTCTGGAGACCACCCTGCTTGAGTCCCTGAAAATCCATGACTGCATCTACTTTTGTAGCACCCCATCATCTGACCCTTAAGACTGAACCATAAAAAAGCAGCAAGGAAGAGGAGGATCCATTGTTTTTGGAATTGGAATGCTAACTCTTTTTCGGGATCTCAAGCAGGATAGAATAGAGCTCATGTCCTAGGCATTTAGGAGCCTATGTCCACTTACATATCTACTTACTGTACATAGAATCTGGCCTATACTTCTGCTTACACAGAGTCTACTTCCACTTATATGGGATCTGATCCATACTGTACCTTTGGCTCTCTGGGTACTGACACCACTGAAGGTGGAGTATCTGGACAGAGTTCAAAACTAACTCTTTGACTTGTTATTGTTTAACTTTCACCTATTAATCACTCAACTCATTCACCCATTCAGCAGCTAATTCCCATTTGGATCAAACTGCCTTTAATTAAGACTCACTACTTTCTCTGCCCTCATTTCACTTGGCTTCTCAAAGCTCAGTATTTTGTTTTAGAAAATCCACACAAAATCTATTTTTTTAGGGATTTATCACATAAAATTGGGATGTGGCTGGTTCCGATTATGAAATGTGTATTTGGCTAGAATATTAAAATTATGTTCACGGTGATTTGGAATACTGTTATGTTTACATTATAAAGAGCTAAAGAGAGCTTTATAAATGCCTTAGCCTTTCATTGCCCTTAATATAAGGCACTTCAGTGAAATCTTGCATTCTGTAATTTTTCCATGCAGTTCTAATAAAATAGCAGTAATCATACATTTGGGGACATGAGTGAGCTCTAGCAGACACCCAGATCCAAAGCCACTACTAAAATGTACAGTAAAATTCTCATTGAATTCTCTCTTTTAATGGAACCTTAAAATAGAGGTAAACCACTGTCAAAGCAAAATGGATTCATAATATCCTCAAGGCTGCAGTCCCCTTTCACTATGTAGTCCATAATTTCACATACATTTAGCCCACTGACAAGCTATACAATTATCACAGTAATTTCATGGATTCATAACAACCTTCTGTTTCACTTGGAGTCAAATCCTGCCCTTCCTGCCTCAAATGGATCAGGATTTACACTGCAGACTCTATGCTCCAAGCTAGTGAGCGGATCTGGACAAAGAGTAGATGCAATCCCAATGCCCCATGGTCTGCATGGAAATGATCATTTTCCGGTTTCCGGAAAGGTAATGATTTGCAGCCGCTAACCCAACAGGACTGACATTAACATTTGAGGGCATAGATTTCCTTTCAGTTTAGCCCAGATTTATATCACAAGCTGCAGTGAATTTATGCCTGCTATACAATGGTGTAAGAGGAGTTGGCTGATATTCCTCCCACCCAGGGGAGGATGTTGAAGTAAGAGGCATACTCACAGCCTTGACTGATGCAGAATCTTCATCCCATCAGGAGGAATCTGCCTGGTGACATAAATTCTAGGTACCTGCTTCCCAGTGGTGTTTGTTGCCTGTAATTTCCACCAGGTATGGAAATCTGACACCAGGGTCTTCTTCAGCCACTTCAAATGACAGAGGGTCCCCATAGCAAACTCAAGGCACTGACACAATCTGAAAGGGGAACTTTGGCTGGGATGTTTTTGTGCCAGCTCAATGAACATGGCATTGTGTCCTAAGTGGGAGGGGGCCTGTGTGAAAAGATCCCTTTGACCAATGAGTGCAGAACTCAGGTTCTTTCCCGCTGTGCTGACCTGTTACATGTTGTGCACTGGAACAGAGAGCCAGAGGCTCCTGTTACTTTAAGGGGAAAGTGCAGCAGGCCAACATTGCAGTGTGGGCAGGCAGCTGAGCAAAGGCTAGCTGCACTGCAATAAACAGCTAAGGGGCAGACCTCTAGGCAGCCAGGCAGTAAAGGCTGCAAGCTTGCTGTTTGGAGCTGCAGCAGAGGAGCACAGACTCACCGTTAAGCAGCAAGGAATCCCCTGTGGGTGGTTGGAGAATGGGAAACAGACCTACAGGCATTCTAGCTGCCTGTGAAAGCTTGAGGGAGAGAGCTAAAGGGGAAGTACGGCTGGCAGTGTTACACTGGCCCAGAGTGGGGGAGAATTTTAGTTTGGAAGTGCTTTTCTTGTATTTGTGTTGTGTTTGAGTTTAAAACTGGAGGACCAAGTTGTGGCTATGGGGGTGGTATGGGAACCACAGGGGCACTCATCTGATCGGGGACCCCAGGAGGCCATGGGGTCGCTTACCTGACTGGGGACCCCAAGGCTAAGTACAGACAGCCAAAAAGCCGGAGGGTGAATCAATTCAGTCTTTGCAGGTTAGTCTAAACTGCAGAGATTAAACTGACTAACAAGTGAACAGACATTTACTTTGCAGCCACATGCCTGCAGTGACTCAGGCCAGAAGCCAGGGGGTGCTAAAGCATGGCTCTCTGGCATGTAGCCAGCATCGGCTGTGTGTTTGCTTCCTCCTCCTGCTGCCCCTGAGGTCTCTGGGATTTGCAGTCCAGAATCACAGCAAGAGGACTCTCCAGGGCTGCTCATCACTTCCTCTTCCTGCTTCCAGGTGCCTCTGGGATTTGTAGTCCACAGTGGTAGCTAGCAATATGTTTAGTAGGGCAGGGCAGCTCTGTACTCAGGGGAAGGGGAGTTTAACCATCTCTCCCTGGCCCCAGACTCCAGCTAGGGTTTGCCTAGGGGAGGCAGTCCCTGCTTCCCTGCCCCCCCACCCAACCCTTCTTTGCAGAAGCAGAAAGCACAGCACAGCTCAGGGCTAGAAAGCATGCTGGGATGCTGGGGGACTGTAATTTAATTTGAACCAGGAAGGGGTCTGGGACAGAAGTTTCATAAACTGGTTTGACTCAAATCAGTTAAGTCTGATACTACATTCAACCAGGCTTATCTTAAATCAGTTTCAGCCATTTTGAAACTGGTTTATGTGCACTGAACTTCTGTTCTGTTACAGGTTTAAACCAGTTTCTGATGACCTAAACCCATTTATGTGTAACTTCTGTCCTTAGCCCAGGAGGCTATCACCGAGAGAGGGTCAGGGGTCCAGAGCACAAGAGCAAGACAAGGCTAGAGGCTCAGGGAATGAGACCGGGCCAGAGGCCCAGAACATGGAAGTGCAAGACAGGGCCGAGCCAAGGTGCAAGGCAGTGGACCTGGGCTTAAGGGCACAGCCAGAATGGAAAGGCCAAGGGCAGGAAAGCTGAAGCCCAGACAAAGATTTGAGGCCTGAGGGGTTAAGCGTTGCACTGTGGCCAGGGGGCCCCCTCTGAATTGATAATGAGTAATATCTGTGAGGCATTGTTGTGGATACAGGGGTGGCAGAAGGCCATGATTATCACCCTTAAGGCATGGATAGCACCAGAAGGGCCATAATTTAGCACCAAAAGGGCCATCTGGGCACATGAAACAGTGGACTGCTGTGGGACTGAGGCTCACTCTGGATCCCTGGGGCAGCCTCCCTGAATATTATAAAATCCACCAAGGCATGGCAGGTGAGGTAGAAAAGGGAGGGTACCCTGAGGAGCTGGAGTGGGGCAGGAGTTGTTTGGCTACCAGGGGGCATCATGGCCACCTTGGGGCCGGGTTTTGCTATACACATTCTGCTTAATCTAGCCATCTAAACATGGCAAGGCCCAGGAAAAGGCAAAGCCTAGTCAAAAAGCAAACATGTTTGTGCCTTGAGGAAACATAGCTGTAAATGAATTTGAGCAAAATGACTGTTTTATTTTTCATGTTATATTCAACCCTGTTTTTGAAGTTTTCTTCTTCAATATTTTAAGTTTGTACCCCATCATCCTTTCACAAACTATTAGCTTTTGGATTTTGAAATAACAACATTTGGGATTCTGGGGTCACAAATATGTAGGTGAGAGCATTTCAAACAGCAGAACAGAAGTTTCAAAATGTCTTGGGCCCAATTCACTCCTGTATTGCTTCAGTTTGAGGGAAAAAGTGATATCAAACTGAAAATATGCACTGGGGAATCAGACCTAGTAGGGGAAAAAAGATTGAAAGTATTAAAGCACAATGTCAAAGTACGTACCTGTGAGGTGGAGGAAACTGGGAAAGCAGAAAGGCTGAATCCCTGTTGTTCTTTTTCAGGCAAAAGTCACTAGGGACACGTCCCCACAAGTGTGCATGTGTGGTTTGTGGCATATCAAAGCTGAGGTACCACAAAACACACACAGTGCACATGCACTCATGCACCGCACTGCTAATTAGCAGCACTAATTTTTTTTTACATTGGGATATCCCGGTGTCAAAAAACCCGCCACTAAAAAACTGCACAGTGCATGTGGCAGCAGCATGCATCAGCAAAAACCAGAGCCTCACTGGACAAAGCCATGCTCTGGCTGTAGCTGGCTCGGTGCCACTGCTGTCCCGGGAGGTCCCCAGGACCCCAGGTAAGGCTGCTGGGGTCAGTACAGGTGCTGGCCCCAGCCTCCCCTACCCCACCCAGGTCCCTTTGCTGCATGCCAGAGCTTGCCTGCAGGAGTGTGCCTAGGGACAGATAGCAGTGGTATAAATATGTGCCTCTGTTATTTGTCCCATGGGAAATGTATACCTCTTCATGTGCATGCTTATGGGGACGCACCCTAGGATTTTTACCAGGGTGATACCCTGTGGAACAAAATTATTTATAAATAAAAATTTATTTATTTCCCAGCCAGCTCTTGATTTTAAAACAAAAAAAAATCCCCCCTTCACTGCCTATGATATGAATAAAGAATCTCTTCCTGCCAAAAATGATGCAAGTCTTCATAGATTCATAGATGTTAGGGTCGGAAGGGACCTCAATAGATCATCGAGTCTGACCCCCTGCGTAGGCAGGAAAGAGTACTGGGTCTAGATGACCCCAGCTAGATGCCTATTTAACCTCCTCTTGAAGACCCCCAGGGTAGGGGAGAGCACCACCTCCCTTGGGAGCCCGTTCCAGACCTTGGCCACTCGAACTGTGAAGAAGTTCTTCCTAATGTCCAATCTAAATCTGCTCTCTGCTAGCTTGTGGCCACTATTTCTTGTAACCCCCGGGGGCGCCTTGATGAATAAAGCCTCACCAATTCCCTTCTGTGCCCCCGTGATGAACTTATAGGCAGCCACAAGGTCGCCTCTCAACCTTCTCTTGCGGAGGCTGAAAAGGTCCAGGTTCTCTAGTCTCTCCTCATAGGGCTTGCCCTGCAAGCCCTTAACCATACGAGTGGCCCTTCTCTGGACCCTCTCCAGGTTCTCCACATCCCTCTTGAAGTACGGCGCCCAAAATAGCACGCAGTACTCCAACTGCGGTCTGACCAGTGCTCGATAGAGGGGAAGTATCACCTCCTTGGTTCTGTTCGTCATGCATCTGCTGATGCACGATAAAGTGCCATTAGCTTTTCTGATGGCTTCGTCACACTGACGACTCATGTTCATCTTGGAGTCCGCTAGGACTCCAAGATCCCTTTCCGCTTCCGTGCCACCAAGCAGGTCATTTCCCAGGCAGTAGGTATGCTGGACATTTTTCCTCCCTAGGTGCAGCACTTTGCATTTCTCCTTGTTGAACTGCATTCTGTTGTTTTCTGCCCATTTGTACAACCTGTCCAGGTCTGCTTGTAGTTGTTCCCTGCCCTCCGGTGTGTCCACTTCTCCCCACAGCTTTGTGTTATCTGCAAACTTGGACAGAGTACACTTCACTCCCTCGTCCAAGTTGCTGATGAAGACATTGAAGAGTATCGGTCCAAGGACCAAGCCCTGAGGGATCCCAGTGCCCACACCCTTCCAGGTCAATACCGACCCATCCACTGTGACTCTCTGGGTGCCCTTGGTCCAAAGAGCTTTCTCTCCAAAGAGAAGATAGACTGGGAAGCAGAGACATGATATGTCCTTTCCTAAAGTCTCCCTGTGGTAGAACTAGGAACAGAAACCATGACACCTCATTCCTGGTTACTGCTTTCTGTTGCTAGACTTCCAAGCAAACTGAACTGATTCCTAAAAGCAAAAGGTGACCAATGTGATGCATAACTGAGCCCAAAACAACTGCACATGCAAATTTGTTACAAGAAAAAAAATTACCTGCACATCTGTAAAAATAATGCTCAGGGTTTAAATTGCTTCTTTTGCCTGTAGAGGGCAGACGCTAACCAAGGCAGTTACAGATTACTAGTTACTGAATTGCAGTGTCACGGAGAGGCCCTACCCCATTGTGCCATATCATACGACAAACATCATCTTCACAGACTGTGAAATACTCAGCATCAAACCTTTCCTGCTGCATTTTCTCTCCTGTAACATGCCCTGCCTTCTCTTTGATTGAAATCTCCCTGCCCTAAGCCAAAATGGCTAATGGCCAAAAAGCATATGATCAGAGCTGGAAGTGGGGCTCCCCTCTTCCAGAAAGTGCTTGATGGGAGGGGGTTTCTTTTCCTTGGAAGTGAAAGCATCATGTGCTGTGATGAAGTAGAACTGTATCTCCTGTCACCTCAGGGGGACTAGAGGAAACGCCCAGGCTAGCTCTTGAAAAGCAGTCATGGCAAGCGGAAGTCAAAGAAAGGGCCAGAATCTATTGTTCTGCAGAGTCTTGGATATGGAGGTCAGGGCTAAGACCCGGTGGAGCCTATGGCAAAACCCATTTGGTTTCTGTGGGATAGGACCTGAC